GATCTGGAAGCCCACATATACTGTTACAGCAGTGCAGCATCTCATCGAGGGGTTTAAGGCGTCATCATAGTTGACTGGTTTTAGCACAGACTTGAATAGCAAACACCAAGCTCTACTCCTCAATACAACTATAAAATGACAATGTAATGACTCATTTTGCTCAGAAAAATTAATATAAAATTACTTTATGCAGTAACAAGCCAAAAGATGCCTTCTTGAATCTGCCAATATGCAGATTTGCATTTGTGCAAAGTGGTGATTTACATTAACTCAAACGCAGGCTGCAGACATTTGGTTTCACAAAAACGCAGCCAAACCCTTAATTCGTCATCTGAAGTGTGATTTCTTTCTGTAGCCATACCAATTACTCTGTCTTAAAAGACAGAATAGCAATGTCCTTTCCTGTATCTATCAACAATAAAAGGAACTATTTAAACTGAAAAAGGTACGTGGAATTTGGCTGGGATCAAAGCAGCCTCTGGGGTGATGAGATGTGAAACAGAGTGCAGTCAAGCTATGGAGGAGATGGGTGATGCCCCGGCAGCATTTGCTTGCACCAGGACTTCAGCAGCATTCCCCCAGCCTGGCTTTAGCACCTCGGGGGGCAGAGCTCCCTGCAGAGTGGATGGAGAGAGACACTCATGCCTGCAGCATCCCTCCCCGACATGCAGACATGACCTGCAGTGGTCCGGGGAGTCGGCTGCCACATGCCAACACCTCCTATGGATGCTGCACTTCAGAGATCTCCAGTTAGGACAGCTGGCCTTTTACAGGTGTTACAGATGCCAACACATTCAGAACCAAGTATCCCTCCAGAAATCTTGGAAATCTGACCAACTTCTACAAGGAGCAGATAGAGCTCTGGTACCTGTGAACCATGTCTGTGAACTCCTACAAAGCATAACCTTCTTGGAGGCAAATCCAGGTCAAGTGGATACAGCAAATCTAAAGGTCACATCAACCTGCTCGGACAGTCCTAAGAAATAAAGTGCCTCATTTCTGCATTCTGCCATAGCAAATAATTTACCCAAGAGAGTCATGCCACTGCTGAGACCAGCAGCCCACTGAAGGGGATCAGCCACCAAGAGGAGTCAGTGACATCAGGCACCATAAATGCAGCTCATTTTGCAAGGTATAAAATTCAATACTTTGTAAGGATGAACATCAAGATGTCACTACAGTTTGCTCAGCAGAGGGATCTCCCATGGAAGCAGTGGTCTCCAGGTCACCCCATGGAAAACAGAACGTGAGACACTGTTCACCTAAAGACTGTCATATTCTTTCTGTTACCTTCAGCATTTACAGCTTCCTGTGCATGGGCATCATGCTACTTAGAGGCCACACGTTGGAGACTCCTATTCTGAAACATTTTGCACTTTTGGAGGAAGGTTGGCTTGGGTTAAGAGTTTAATAACGGGGCAATTATTCCTCAACATCCTATAACAAACAAAAGCCCTGCTTAAAGACTAGTTATTTCCTTGTTAACATGCTGCAGTCCAGGAGCTGAATTAATAAATCAAATCAATGGAGTGGGAAATTGTATTTTTAGTCTTCAGGGTACCCTTCTAATGTGTGTCCCAAAAGTAAAAATACTGAGGAAGGAAGAGGGGCACTGCATGCTGAGCAGTTACCTTTCACAGGCAATGTGCAGAGAGCTCACTGCCAGCTTCTGCAGAAACAGACTGGTCTGTAGGGATGGCTCCGTGTGCTGAGGGGCAGCAGCACCACTTGCTTTGTGCTGAAATGGGGTGATTCCATCGCCAGCAACCCACTGGGCAGGCTGCTCAAAAGCCGATGGTGGTGAACGCTTAATAAACTTGCTCACAATTCAGTTTTCTTCACAAAAATATTTCAGAGGACAATAAAATAAAGATGATGGATTAAATTGCAAACAAATTCTCAACTGAGTCTTGGGTACTCAGTTCCAGGATATCGTATGTTGCTCCAGAGTTAGCAGGCTGAAGAAGAGAAAATTACCCAGACCAGGAGCAGCAAAGTGCTCCTAACTCTTCAGCCTACTGCCACCATTCAGAGCACGGCTGGGGTCAAATCAAGAGCCAACAGGTTTGCCTACTGCATATGAACAAGATGCTTGTTGACAAGCTAGTTTTTCATCATTCAGGATGCAAACTGACATGTTCATATAAGACAGTAATGATGTTTAATTACTGTTACAGCAGATCATCTTAATTTTGCTGAGGAATTAGAGGAGATGGCTAGTTTTTCATCATTTACAACACTTTATGACAGCATTGTGAATAGTCACTTTATCACTCAATGATATTTACAGATCTGTTCTAACTTTCACTAGTTTTAAATAACAGTTACCTATAAACCTTGATGGGATTCAAAGTGTTTCATACAGGATGCAATTACAACTAATTATAGCATTTAAGAAACATATAAACTGAATTCAGCTCTTCTCCAACTAATTATGTTTACTTCACCAGCAATAATGCAAGTTATAAAGCTTCTCCCAGTGCCACGTGCAGATGGCAGTCGTGGATGCCAGCTGATCAGAGATGCATTGAGAGGCACATTATAATGACAAAACCACTTTTTACACTTACTGTTAGCTATAATTTTCCTGCAACTCTCCTATTACTACAAAAAAAATAATCTATTGGAAGTTTTTGTTGACTTGACATGTATTCCATTTTGAAGTGCCTGCATACACAGCTTGGAGGGGTTTTTTTGTTTGTTTTGCTTTGGGTATTAAATTTGATTTTAGAAAAGGCACTGGTGTCTGAATTTGAAGTTTCTTTTTCTGATCTTTCATGTTGTCATAAATATCAGGGATTATATCTTTCTTACCACTCTCTCCAATCTCTCCTACCTCAAATCTGAAAATTTCTGCTCCACAAACCAGACTTCTGGGGAAACAAACAAACAAACAAAAAAGATAAAGCAGTCCCTTTCTTACTCAGTGAGGAGAATCCAAGTACAGCTGAAGCCATCCTTCCTTCCTTCCATCAGGAGTGAAGCTACCAAAGGCTGGAAGCACTCAGCAGCCACACAGACAGGCTTTCCATGTAAAAGCACACTACCCTACCACAAATGGCACTGCACTCCCAGTGGGGGTACAACTGTACTAAGCTGAGTGTTGTACCAGTACACTGGAACAATAAATCAGTACAAACACACAGAAATACAGGTAAAAGTGCCTTTTGAAAGGGCAGATGTACTGGAACAGCGCTGTGGCTCATGGATTGCACCATTTTATGCACCTACCTGACAGAGCTGTTAAACTAGAAGACTGTACTGCAGGCTTGGCTAGAGGAAAAGATCTTTTAAAGTGGTACAGATAGAAAAAAATATTCACTGAGTCCCTGCTAGCTTTGTGAGGAGTTAGAAACTTAACCACTCTCTGTACTGTTGAAAAATCTAAGTCAACAAATAATAATATGGCTTTCCTTACAGTAATTACAGAAGTAGCCTTAATACTGCCTTGCTTTCAGTTTATCAACAAGCTTTTACTTGTGTTGTCATGTAGTTCATACATAAGAACTCCTCCATGCTCATGGCCAAAGCACAGCTATTCCTGCACTCTGTAAGAGCTTTGTACAAAGTTGTGGTTGAAAGAGCTTAAAAATAAAGTTGCTTTATAAAGAATAACACAATCAAAACCCTACTAAAATACATTGCGAGGCCTCTGTACTTTCAGCTCTTGGTTTGTAGATTGTTCACCAAACGACAACCAACAAACTGAAATGAAGAGTGAAGGCCAAAAATACTGAACTTTCTCTATGTTATACTTACCCTGAGCAATGAATTCAACTGTTGTCCTGCTTTTGTTTGGGACAGAGCTAATTTTCTTCTTAGTAGCTGGTATAGTGTTGTGTTTTGAATTTAGTATGGGAATAATGTTGATAACACACTGATGGCTTTAGTTGTTTCTAAGTAGAGTTTATACTACGTCAAGAACTTTTCAGCTTCTCCTGCTCTGCCAACAAGGAGGCTGGGGGACACAAGAAGTTGGAAGGGGACACAGCCAGGACAGCTGACCCAAACTGGCTAAAGAGATATCCCAGACCACATGATGTCATGCTCAGTACATAAATTGGGGGGAAAAACTGGCTGGGGGACACTGCTCAGGAACTGCCTGGGCATCAGTCAGCAAGTGGTGAACAACTGTGTTGTGCATCACTTGTTTTGTATATTCTAATTCTTTTATTATTATTATTACTACTACCACCATTATTATTCTTTTCTTCCTTTTCTGTCCTATTAAACCATCTTTATCTCAACCCATGAGTTTGGTTTTTTTTTTTTTCCAATTTTCTCTCCTATCCCACTGCAGGGGGGGTGTGTGTGTGTGTGGGAGTGAGAAAGCAGGTGCTTAGTGTGTGATGCTTAGTTGCCAGCTGGGGTTAAACCACAACAATTGTGTACATTAAATAATAGATCAGTAATTTCAGAAGGCTATTCTTAGAACTGTTAAATGTATTTGACCAAGAGGCCCAGGAAGACACTCAATGTCCTCAGCCCGGTCATTAAAATAGAAGGTCTTCTGTAATAAAATGAACGCCCAAGATTTACTATAGCTGAAAACTACTCTAATAAATTCACAGACTTAACAAGAATGGAAAATGAAATGTGATCTGTAAAACTGATACTCTCCTTTAGGGCAGAATTAGGAATGCTGGCCAGAGAGCTAATAGCCAGTTTGTATTTGGACACTGAAATCTTTTTGTCCCATCAGGAGATTTCGGTTTGATGTTAAGATTCCAAACACAATTAAAAGATATGAAACATGAAGCAAAATGGGAACAAGAAGCTTATCCATGAATGTAATTTTTACAGTGTTCATTAAATGTGCTGCAGCAGGAAATCCTCCAACATCAAGATGCACTGAAAAAGGGGAGAGCAAACTGATGCCTATAACAATGCTCCCCCTATGTAGGATGGAAAACCATTACAGATCACGTTCTTACATAAGAAAAGCAGACCCCAACTGTTTAGAGAATGTACTATAAAAACAGCGATCTAAACAACCTTACCTTCCTTTCCATCAACAGGTTTTGATACTTCCATATCAAAGCTCTCTTGCAGCTGCTGGCCTCTGAAGCGGTTGAGATGCTCCTGTTCTATTAAGTTACTTTCTTCCTCTTCCAGAGGTTGCCATGTCCCATCAATAAACCACTGTCCACGCATTACAGGGATCTTTTCCGTTTCTAAAAGTCAAACAAGAGATGATTTTTTTTTTTTAATGCAACTAAAGCACAAACTGACAGCAGATAAGAGGGAAAGGGAATTCTGTTTGGTGTTTTGATGAAAATTTATGCTTCTGCTGCTGGAACCCCTAACAAGGTAACCACAAATGCCTTGAGAAACCCCCCCACCTCTTCTCATAGGGCTGAAATTAGTAACAGAAGTAGTGTTAATCTGCAAACTGAGCTAATGAGGACAAATTTTCAGAGTGTGTGAGAGGATGTGAGAGATGGACAGAAAGATGCAGAGTCTGTAAAATTTATTAAGGGTTAAGTTCAAACAACAGTCCAGCTGTAATGAGATATATTCCTCTCTACCCAGTGGCTTTGAATTTTCAAAAAATTAGGAACTTTGTGAGACTCATTCTCCTCTCTAAAATTTGACTGATAATAAGCATTGGTTTCAAAGTTATCAAGAAGGTGCAGAATGAGGAGGAGATACAAAACCATTTATGCTTACCCTGACTGCACAGACCCTTGTTTCCTTTGGGACTTACAGTAACCCAAACTACACAACAGTTAGCATAGTGGATGATTTTAAAGATGAAAGTGGGTTTTTTTAATTACAATCAGTCTTTCACCAAGGGTTGTTTTCAGTCGCTGTCATTCTAGTTTCAGTTTCAGCACTCCAGACGAGGAAGCTGGTTGCTCAGCATTTGCTATCCATATGACAAAAGAGAAGTTTATGAAAAATATATCCTGGTGCTTCCTCTTCATCGAACTGCACTTGCTGTCCTAACTTACTGGGGCTGCAGGGGGGAAGAATCCTCCCTTATACCCATCCCTGCAAGCAAGACAGGACAATAACATCCATTGTAGCACAGCTCAGAATTTCTCCCCCTACATCTGGAACATGTGTGCCTGTGCTCCACAGGCCTGTAAGAGCCCAACCTCCAGGCTCACGGGACCAGCACAGATATAGGTCTGTTGAGACTCCAGACCTCCAGTGCACACTAGTGCGTGTTGCTGTATATGTATGTGTAGAGAGACTCGGCCAAATGCAAACGTCTCATGGGTGCGTGCACACTAACCACATGAGCTCTCCAAAGCAGCTAAGAACTCAAGCATGAAAGAAGAGGCTCAAAAAAAGAGATGGGGGGGGAAAAAAAATAGGTTTGACTACTCAAAGATCTGTTCCTACCTGAAAGGTGGGATAAAAGCTGGTGAGGACAGCTTGGAAAAGAAACAATAGATGGAAAGAAACTGGAAACAAAAATTAAGTAAAAACCAAACAAACAACAGAGAGCATGGAGATTTCAGAGTTACTGAGCAAGGGAAGGGATCTATCTGATCTATCACCAGACCAGTACAAATGCAGCTGGGTGAGGTGACCCAGCCAAGGGCAGAGGTTTTTAGCCTGGCCACACTGCTCTGTTAGCTCAGGTCACGAGAGGCCCCATCTGCCCCGCGGAGCCCATCCCACCGAGCTCGATGGCAGGTCAGAAGTCTCTGCACTGCCCTCCGTTACAGATACGCCACTACTGCTCATGCCCATGGACACTAGTATACACCTGAAGTGGTTTTCATCGTAACTGCAGAAGTTAGTACAAATGACATAAAAAAATGCCTATGAAAATCCAAACTAACTTTGGTGTCTACATCCCATCAACAAGGATGTGAAATGTCAATGAAAGAAGTAGTTTTCTTGAAACTAAAGTTAACCACAGCAGTGTCAGTTGTCACCACATAGAGTAGCCTCTCACCATGCACTTGTCTTAACTTCTGCTCTATTTCCCTCCATCTTACACCTGTTGATATCTGCATTTTTCAGAAGAGCTAATATACACAGATCCAGTGAGGCTACCCTTACAAACAAAGCACTGTCTGTAGGAAAAAAAGAAAAGCACATAAATGTGAGCGTAAATAAAGGATTTCATTGTTGCGGAAGCAATGACACGACTGCGCCAGATATTAATCCTTACTGGGAAAATCTGTAAGCAATTCCTTAATTCTTGACTAAGCATTTCGACGAGGCTCCATTCATTGAATATTTTTTTTTTAAAATAATCAGATGAATACTATTTTGTACTCCAAACTGAATTAATACAACACACTTCTTTTTCAGTTTTGAAGGGCTTTAAGTTTCTCATGGGAATTTCCACCTACAGATTTCTAAAATTCTAAACATAAACCATTAAAATAAACATTTCCAAGCTCCTTCTGCCTGAAAGAAACCTTCTCATAGTGTTTTTTAACAAGAGCAGACTGTAGCACTCAACAGCAACTCCAAAACAGAAGATAGGCAATGCCTTTTCCAGAAAGGCTCAGCCAGGAAAAAAATTGGCATGTTTGAAATAAGAAAAATTTTATTGTAAAACCTTTACAGGACAGTTTAGTTTGAGAATAAACTGATATATATGGCTCTGGAAAGGGCATTTATATGGAAATATAAATCACTTTCAGATCCAAAGACAGACTATTATGGAGCTTAATTTTCAGACTCGGGCTTTAAAACCTGACTGAGGCAATTCTGTTCCCCTCAGTGGGAATTTATGGGGGCCCAGGAGTTGCTGCCTTTTTTTTTTTTTTTCCTCCAATCCCCTCCTTTCAGCTGCAGGCCAGCACCCTGAACCACAAGCTTGTTTTATTTCACATCCTTAGCTGGATGTCAGGTCTGATCACTGTGCTACTGGGAAGCCTCAAGAGAAAACCACCTGGTAGAGGAAGCAAGTGAACGACAGTTCCTTCCATCAGAAGCACGGTTTGGTTTTAAGAAACCTGAACACTGTCTTTCAGAACTGAAACAATCAAATTTGTGAAAACAGCCCACAAAGAATCATTTCATCTTCTTCTCACAAGAGAAGAGGTTTGGTAAAGTGGAGGACAACAACTTCCCATTAACATCTGTGTTTTCAAAACTGAAAAATGATGGCTATAATATTAGAATTGTGTAATGCTGGATTTCAGTCCAGGTCAAAGTCCAACTCCAGTCACGATGATAACCTACTGATGCTAAAAGTCACCAGCTCCAACAGCAAGTGGCATTTCACTTACACAGAAAGAGGTATATGAATGGTAATGACACTGAATACTCTGGACTGGGTGGCAAAATGAGGTGACCACAACCCGAGAGGAGATTTTTCAGTATAATCTGTTGACTGAGGGAACAAGTAAAGGCACATCTCCATGAACACAATTCCTCTGTTTAACCTTGCACAGGTGCTGTCATTTAAAGGTTTCTCTGTGATTCACCCAGAGAACTTGATGCAAGCTATTACAGTATATCACCACTAAAAGCTGATGAACAAAAAAATGCCATGTGAGCACCAGTTTCACTCACTCCTATCCACCTTGTGTCTTGGATATTCAGATTATTTTAGAAATCTTCATTCCATTAGTTTTGTTTTATGGAAGAATTAAACACACAGATATTTGTATCATGCTGTAGTTTAACTTTTGGTTTTGCCAATGCAGCATTCCAAATTTATAACATGAAGCGTTATTTATCATTGTTCCTACGATCTTGATTCCTAGGAAAGGATTTGCCATGATTTCTTTGCTGTCTTAAATCTTACGCCATATAATCCGCAGTTGGCAGTGCTTCAAACTGAAAGACACCGATATATTTGGCCGATTATACACTTGCATTGTTTATTTATACAAGAATTTCTAAATAAACCTGAATGGCAGGGATTACAAGCTTATGAAAGGCACTTTAATTAGTCATACATATTTTACCACTTTTAGAGGAAAATTGCTTAAGTGATCTAGATTAAACCAAAAGATTTAATTTTACACAAAATAGGCTTTTTTCCTGAAAATCCAAAGAATAAAAGAATACAAGTGCTGTAATTAATGATGTGAAGGGACAACAACATGAACTATTTGCATTATGACAATCGCTTAAATCTTCCAAAGAATAAAAATTATTTAAAAATAAAAACTATATGCAACCTATAGTACACCCGTGCAGTAATTTATCTATGTATGCCCCAGCAACTCCTTTTTAGTGAAGAACTTAAAACTGTGTGATCACATCCAATATAAATTGCATGAAAAAGCTACGTAATCCATCAAAACGCAGTATGAAAAGTAATAACCGCACAGAATTTGAAATGAAGAATTTGTCTTCGTTTTTCTTCTTGTACTAGTACCTCAATGCTACCATTTGTTTGCTGCCACCACACTGGTCAGAACGGCGTATACCTAAATTTATATTGCACAGCTCAAACGGTGGTTCACATAACCTTTTTTTTTTCACCTTACTTGATTCAGAACCAGGAATCTGTTGCAAAAATAAGATGTTACAAAGCTAGTAACTAAAGGTTAAGAAAGAGAGCTTAAACACGTACAAAAGGAGGTCTGGTTTGGAAATACCAACACCAGCTAGCATGTAACCTAGAAGACAGACAGAATAAAATTGTAAGAGAGCAAGATTAAGAAACTTTTGTTTCATTGCTTTGAAGCCGACATCCTGTTCCGATGGCTCGATGGCAAAGCGAAGGCACTCCTGGCACCACTCAGTCATCAGTCTCAAGACAGCTGTAAGAAGTTACCCACGAATGAGATCTAAAAGTTTACTATGATAATCAAAGGCTCAGAAAATTAAATTAAAGCTTGCGTTTTGCCGAAAATTGGCAATCCTAATTTCCCAGCTTTCCAAACCCAAAACCAGTAGGTTGGGCAAGAAACACGAGCTCATAAAATGCAGTCAGCTCGAGATGCTTTTCAGTATAGTAATTTCAGATCCCTGCTTTACAGAGTAGTAACTTCTGTTCCTTAAATTTTGCTGCTTTATTACTACAGTTGCAAACAATTTGCAGTGCGTGAGGATAACATCTGCACAAACTCAAGGTAACTGAGGCTACCATATGTGACATCTCAGGCTGAAAAGTATTTAAATAATTAAGTGCCCACACATTTACCAAGAGAAAAAAAAAAAATCACCCAGACAAAATGGTCTTTTTCTTTTCATTTTTTTTTTCCCCTCCTCTCTCCACAAAGGCCTGCTGAAAGTGCTGCAT